GTCTAGCTCGAGAAAAAGAACAAATGCAGAAACAATTGGAAGAAGATATGCTGAAACAAAAACAAAAGAAGGTGGGGTTTTACATTTTTTTACTCCAGATAGTCTTTAGTAATACTGAGTTTGAGGAAGATGGTTCTTGTTCTTCACCTTCTAAATTATGTCACCTCATCATTTTAAAAATTAAAACTATCTGAAATTTAGACATTTTAAACCAAAATCTGTTTCCTCAATTAATAAACTTGTAACACCATACAAGCTTAAGGCAAGTTTCTTTTTTTGGACTAAGGCCTTTTCAGGAGAAGAAATTACCAGAAGTGGCAAAAATAGAATTGTAGTTTTAAATAATGCAGAAACATGCATTTTTTAATGCAAATTTTAAATAAAAAAATACCTCAAAGTGTGTGATCCAATTATTGTTGGTTAGTTGATGCTTTTAAGATGCTTCAGTGCCATGGACTTCATCTGATTGGATGTGCTTTCTCTCTGGATTAAAGACTTTTTGAACTATATTCTAGAAAAGTAATTCTAATAGTCATTCATGTTCTGTAGCTTTCTCCCCTATAATTTTTGCTGAGCTTTACCATCTCCTTTCACATAGAAGTTAAACCAAAACATTTTGACCTTTGCCTACTGCAAATTTTGTATTTGCATACATTCTTGCCTGCTGGAGAAGATTGTATAAAAGGTGAAAAGCCTATTAATTTTATTCTAAAAATAAATTACCATATATATTTACTTTTTTAAAAAGGAATTCCTGACTCTGAAAACAAATGAGCTTTATCAGACAATGCAGAAAGCTCAAGAGTTCGCACGGAGATTAAAACAAGAACAGCGCATTCAAGACTTGGCTCAGAAGGGACATGACGTTTCAAACCTTCAGAAGAACCTTGGTGGTGGCAAGTACAAGTCTTTTCATACTCAGTTTGCCTTTTCTGTGGGTGTTTGTTGTGCAAGTTGGTGCACGCAATGTTTTTGGTTTATTTTTCCCCCCCTTCTTCATTGAGGTCAGAAATTGCTCCTTTGCTTCACAAACCAAATTTCATTTTATCTTATTAAAAATAAGCCTTTTGACCAAGTATCAGTGTTAATTAATACAGAGAATATTGTATTTTAGTAAGCTTCAAATACTGTATTACATCAAGGAAGAAATACAAAGATATCAGGAATGCATAGGGTATATTCAGACGTTTTTGCTGTTGATTAGATTTCCAGTAAAAAAGGGAGAGTATTAGGATAGTTCTGTCTTGCTTTGAATTCTAAACCACAGTTATCTGGTAACTTGATCGTGTGGTTAAATGGAACGTTACTAAACTGCACAATTTCACTTCTTAGCTGATACTGATTTTGAAAATTGTAATACTGACATTTCACATCAAAGTCATAACTCTTCTGATGACATCAAGAGCGACATTGATCAGCAGACTTCTCCTCGGAAGGACGCTGCTGTACAGACAGGTATGCAGCCCTGAAGTTCAGTTACACTGATGTTCCTTTAGACAGACAATAGAAAAGCATATTTAATGGCATAAAACTAGAAAGAAATCTTACTATAAATTTGGAGAGTTTACAAATTAAAGAACGTTTTTCTATATGCCCCTTAGTAAAGAAAGAAACTGGATTGTCAGTAACTTAAAAATTCAACAAAATATTTCCATTGAAAGACAAGGATTAGGAAAGTTACTCCTAGCAGAGCTGTGACTATGACAAAACAATCAGCATGCTGGAAAACTGAAGAGCTGTGTTTTGCTCTTCACTTGTACCATGACAGAAATAGAATTCTACATTTTTAATAGTATCGTTTCATTTTACATAAATGTTGCTTTACAGTGACTTGATTTCATTTTCCACTCTTTTTTTACTCTCCTCCTTATTGTGTTTGCTTCTGCTGGTCCTATCTTTCTTGCATATCAAAAGAATAATAAACATTATAAAACGGTAACAACCAATTTTTTAATAAAATCAGTAGTGGTAGATTGATACACATACAGAACTTAAGCAAGTAATTTTTATATCTTAGACTCTGAGTTAAAATATTATTATTTTCTTTTAGATTACATTAATACTTCAGTATACACTGAGACAGCTGAGGAAAAAACTGTGGGTTGCGGATCGCCTGATATTTCCATACAATGTAAAGAAACCTCTAACAGCAAAAAAAAACATAAGGAAATGCAGAATATAGATAAAAATATAACTTCAGGAAAAGAGACTGGTGGCATTTATGGTGATCTGCATGAACAATATGCAAAAAGAGAAAGACAAATTAAACCTTCAGAAAAAGACAGCAAAAGACCCCACTGGAACATAAACAATCCTGGGAAAAGATATATTCTAGCATCTGAAAGATACCCTAAACAGCTACAAAAACAAAGGAGAGAAAACAAACTAAGACGACAAATGGAGCTGCTTCAGTTGGTAGAAAGAAATACTTCTGGGAGTCTCTGCCCCAAAAAAGGTGGATATTCAGACAGGTCTCCTTCACCTTACAAAAAAATAAACGTGAAGAATAAGGGACATAGAGTCAGTAAGGTAACTATTTGGTCTTTAACAATGATGTCTGTTTTTAAAACTCTTGTTCCAGACACTTTTGCCTGGATGGGAATTCAGTTATGTAACTAAAGCATTGCGAATTTTCCTATCACTACCCTTAGTGTAAAGAAAGGCATTACAGGGCTGTCTGATTCTTTGTGATTGGTAGGATATATTCAGATTTTTTGTGACTTAGCTTTTACTGTTATTTCAGTCTTCCAAAGTGTTTGTTCTCTTTCATGTATTCACTATCGTCAATTAATTATGTAAACATAGAACTGGACTGAAAGCAGTGTGCAGGTTAAACTGACTTTACTGACTTGTTCTTTTTTGCCCAGTCATTATGGTGGGCTGATAGTTGAGGTACAGGAGGACCCATTCAAAACAATTTTCTATTTTTGCAAACAATTACTGAGGATGTACCATATTGTCACAGAAAGGCAGCCTTTTTAGTGGAGCAGTTTGATCTCCATTTGCAGTGAGCATTTTTCAGTAAAACTTACGGCTGGGAAAAAAAAAATTTTAATTTAAAGGAACTACTAATCTAATATATCCATGCCTTATCTCTCCTGCTTGTTCACTGCCTGTATAGATGTATATACAGATGTATGGATAAAAACCTCATTTTCTCACACCTTCCAGTATTAAAAATCTGGTGGACACTTCAGTTCTGTTTAGTCAGTTGTTTACTGTGGCTATGTACATATATCTTAAAAGCTGTGAGTATTAAAAAAAGTATGTGAAAATAACAAAGCTGTTCACATAGGTGCCTTAAAGATTTATTAATTTGTTAAACTGGATTTTTTTGTTTATTTGAGGTTAATGTTAAATCTGAATTTTGTCCTTACACTATTGAAAGGTAAATATTCAGTAATTTTATACATAAGAAATAGGGCAATTAATTTTAACTAGATTCTTAATATTAGTAAGCATTTAATTTAAATATAAAACATTTAGTGGCTGTATCTAGAAACATGACCTTTCCTATCATAATCATTATCTCGAGCTGAACCTTTCAGGTTTATAAATGCAGCTCTATAAGGTCCTTGGAAAATACGTATTTTTGATAGTGCTTAGAGCTGCCAAAGACACAGACAATTGGAGCAAATTGGCCTGTAATTTATTTCACTTAGTTCAAGTACAAGTAGCACCAGTCTCTTTAATGCAAGTCTTTGATAATTACCTTTCTGCTGAACTCGGGTCAAACAGTCCTTAAGTAATTTCAGAACCAGCTTGTCTTGAAAAATGAAAGCTTTTAATATAAAAAACATGGAGCTTTTTTACTTTTTACTTTCTTGGTTTTCTTGTAGGAAGAAACATTACCTAAGAATCATTTGAATAAAGAAAGGTATGTCAATGCTCTGCATTAATACATGTATAAATACATTAATAGTGAAATACATACATGCTTTTCTTTCCTGATTTTTTTTAAGAGTTTATATGCATCTAATTTTCTACTATTAAAAATAGACAAGACCAGACAAATGGCAGGTATAAAAGCAGAGTAAATGAGCAGTCCAGTCCTCTGAGGATTTTGTGTACTATTTGAGAAAATAACTAACATTATTAAGTACCATGGATTTCTTATAAGAAATTGTTTCATACAGAACTGAATCACCACCTGAACCAACTGTTCCAGCAGTTAAGAACAGTCTACACCAAGTACAACAAAAACAGACACATACTTCTAATTTCCTGGTGCATAACAGCAATAGTAGAAAAAAGAAGAGTATCAAGACAGACACAGAGCAGAGGAGCTTCCTCCCTGCCCTGATAGAAGCTGGAAGACCTCACTCTCCAGAATTTATTCCCTACATCCGAACAAACGAAGTGTATTACCTGGATCCAGATGCACCAGGGGCCAGCCCTTCAACACATGACCCACAGTATCAACAGCTTAATGGTATGGAAGGGTATTGGGAACTGATTAATGTAATTCAGTTCAAAATGCTACAGCTTATTCAATTTGGTATTGACAGGCACAGAGCAGAGGAACTTCCTTCCTGCCATGACAGAAGCTGGAAGACCTCCCTCCCCACAATTTATTCCGTATGTTAGAACAAACGAAGTGTATTACCTGGATCCAGATGCACCAGGGGCCAGCCCTTCAACACATGACCCACAGTATCAACAGCTTAATGGTACTGAAATGTATTGTGAACTGATTCATGTAGAAGAGAAGTTCCAGTCATTTAGTTCAAGATGCTACAATGTATGCCATTTGGTATTTGTTTTTACTGACATTTGCAGTAACCGGTTTCTGCCACAGCACTGTACAGAAAGGCTGTGCAACCAAATGATACTCTGTGTTACAAAAAAATAAACCACCAAATTTTTTTAAGAAAAATCAAAAAAGCAACAAATTTTCTTCTTCTTTTATCTGTCTTTTTTGTCTGCTTACCTTTAACGAGGTATGATGGTATTTCTCTGTTATTATTCTGTACAGGTTTGGGTTTAGGAATCTAGGTGTTATTGACTTAAAAATAGCTAACAGAATCTAATAGCAACCAAAACTTCATTTTCACAAACTCTGTAAACCTACTGCTTCAGAAGTAAAACACCACTGATAAAGAGTATTGTTAACTGATTTGATGTACATTTCCTTTTAGATTCTTACCAATCACCACAACAGCTTTGTAGCTTCAGTCATGCTGGAGATCCTCTTCTAAATCCTGATGTTGTTAAAACCAGAGAGAGACAACAAGCAATTCTCAAAGCATTATCAGAATTACGCCAGGTAAGTGAAAAGTTAATTGGATAAACATTTATGTTTTTATGTAGTACAGTCAAAATAAACATTGCAAACTATTACAGAGTCATAAGCATTAGTCTTTAATTATTTTTATCTATCATACATGAAAAGTTTTGTGTCGGGCCCTACTTCTGTTCCCCCTCTTACCAATTTTTCTTTTCATGTATTACTTCCACCTTTGGAGTGTGTGAGAGACTATGGGCTCCTTAGTCTTTAGAATGCGTAGGAAGTACTGAAGTACCTCATAAAAATTGAAACCAAGAGGAATGGCTTTATTTAGTCTCCAGGTTTTGATATTTAGTGTTGCTTATAAGTCAGAATGTTTCAATTTCAAGGGGAGAAAGAACAATATTTTAACAGAACACTAGTACTCTTGTTAATGAAATGTCACTTCATGGGTAAGCCAGTCATGACAGAGCAGTGTGGTTGGTGCAGAAGAGTTAGTGGGGTGGTACTCCTGTCAGACCTGGAAAAATGCTGTAATTTGCAAATTTGAAGTGTGAACACTTATAAAATCCTAAGATAGCTATTCTTCTGTTAACATGTAAAATTCAGGATTTGTCAATCAGCCAGCTACACTGAGCAAACATAAAATGAAATTTAGTTCAATCCTACACACACAAGAGCTTCTGAGCCTTTGTATGTTTACATGCATTATTCTATTTATAGTAAGTTACTGGTAGTGATTAGACTTAAAAGAAGGATTTCTAATATGGTGAGACTGTCTTTAAGCATCCTAGTTGCAGTAAACTAAAGGAGCACAAAAGATTATAGATGGTAACTGTGAAGTTACATATTTTCCTAATTGCATTCAGAATACCAGGAAAATATCATCACGTATCTCATTACTAAAACATGAGTGAATTTGAAACTTTACCTGTTGGCAACACTGTGCAGCCCATCCCATAGCAGGTTCAAACCACAGGTCTAACTAGTCACACGGTTTCCTTTTATACCTCAAATGACCTGGCAGGGAACTGCAAGACAAAAATAAGAACAATTACTTTTAAGCTTGCATTTTGTCATGAAGAACACTAAAAGCTAAACATCAGTATCTGCTTTGTTTTTGAACAGCCCCATACCAAAAGGATTTTATTGCTAGCAGTGCTGTTTATTTTTCTTTGCCTTAAGAGAGAAAAATTGTCTAACTGATCAAAATAAGGGAAGAAAATCTGACATACTTAAGTACAACAAAACTTCCAGTAGTTAACATTGCTAATTACTTGCTGTGCTTTAGAAGGCTAGAAAGACAGAAGTTCTGCCATGCATTCATTGTGTTTCAGTAGTAGGTAAATTCTTTGTGCAGGTCATGGCTTTCCCCAGGTTACTAAGAAAAATTGCCAGTTTCTAATGGCTTTGTTGGCCAGTTTCTAATGGGTTGACTGGATCTGGTCTTTGGCTAATGTTAAGGTTAGTCTTTCAGTAGATCTTGGTTCTAAGTTAAATTAAAATCCATAGAGCTCTTTTCAAAATGTCCTACCAGCTGCAGAATGCATGTAGGACATTAACTGTTGAACTTACATGTATCTTGTATGCCTAAGTAGTGAATACTCCTGCAGAAGGCACCTGTTTTGCATCAGTTATTTCACTGAGAAAGGAAGAGCAATGCAATATTTTGTATGAAATGTAATTTAGACAAAGAGTGGAGTTGAGTTTTCTATGTCAGAAGATAATGTAGTATTGTTTATTTAAAATTATATATAAAATCTTACATATATTGATCATTTCAGAACATAAATATATATGTGTGTACATATATATATATGTATATATTCACAACATATTTGGCCATTCTTTAGCCTTCTTTTGTCCAGGGTGGACTCACAGCATATGTGACCAGTCTTTAACCTTTGAAATACACCCTCAGCTAGAGTGACACACATACACATACCCAACCAGGCTGATTGAGTAACAGTCCAGTTGAAGTGGCTGAGCCCTGGCAGACACCAGTGAAAATGGAGGCAGATGAGGGTTGTCCTCTGCCAAAGGGAGGGTGATGTCTCTTCCTGTATTTCAGGGAACAGCAGTAATAGGAGCCATCAACAGACTTTGTTTTCTTCACTGAAATCAAGTCAGTGGAATAAGCCCAAGTCTATTCATCCAGCAAAGTGAATTACGCATTTGCGAGAAAGAAGGGCCTAAGTCTGAGAAAAAGGACAAATGCCCCAGCTACAGTCAGTACATACCAGAGCAGCTTATTGTAGCTAAGGCAGTAAAGCAGTTGCCAGCAGCTTGTAGCCTCCATCAACGAAGCCATCGTGCCAGCCACCAGCAGGTTGTGCAAGGACATGCAAAGGCCTGTCCTCAATGCTTGTTCCTATGAAGGGATTTCCTGTTACTTTTCCCTAGGTCCTTTGCAAACTATGTGATAGACTTTGGTTCCAGTTTTCAGTGTTACTAGTTTCTTGTATCAGTTCTGCATTAATTTATGGTGAGGTGTTGCATGAATGTGTAACATGCTACTAAGCACAAAAAAAAAGCTCTAAAAGTAATTCTTGACAAGTGCCCTGACCCACTAAGAGAGGCAGCAGATACTGTTTTATCAGTTAAAAAACAATTCATCAAGTGATCAAAAGTAGGCAGCTGTTGCTCTTGGAAGGATGCAGTGAAGGGTCCTTCCCTAAGGCTTAACTCCCCTTCTGTGCCACCAGGAATAAATCTAAATCCCGGTACCTGCTGGCTTGTTTTGTTCCAGCAGCCTCTGACCCTTACCTGTGAGAAGGGTTGTATAACTCTGAGAACAAATACCACTGTGACCTTATTTTTCTTTCCTTTTTTTGATAAACAAACATTCTCGTGCCAAATTAACTTCTGACAGGTCTAAAATGGATAGAGACCAAGGGGCCAGATGTATCCATATATATGATCCTATTAATTATAGTAAAACACTTCAAATTTATTTATGTTCCTGACATAATTTCTATCATGTTTTACTTATCACACAGCCAAGGATACACTTCCAAGTGTTTTTTATTACAGGTTTTCTTCATTGTCTGGTACTTACAAGAGCCATTAACAAAAGCAGGAACATTTTACCTTTTAAGGGTAAATATGCATACCCTATAGTGTCTGACACAGCTCTAGTTCAAATGGTAAATGCTGTTCTTTATCTTACATTTCTGTTAAGACTAAAAGCTGCTATCTGTCAAGGTTTTGGATGCAGCTTCATACAAGAACATGTAAATTAAAGCAAATTAAATTTAACCTGATGGAAAAATTCCTTTTTCCTCTGCTCAGTCATCCCTGGAAACTGGACTGGTTTCCACTTCAGTCACACTTCAAGTCTTTCGCAAAAGACAGAAAATCTTGAGTCCCCTCTACTGAATGTATTATGTTGAACTGTTCTGAAGTTGTTTGTTTATAAAGCATTGAGCCTTGACAAATAAATTGTTTTAAAATATGAAACAGTGACACTTTATTAGTTCAGGCTGCATAAGGAAGACAGAACATTCACATTTCTTTTCTGTTTATTTCAGGGTCTCCTGCAGAAGCAGAAGGAGTGGGAGACCACTCTGACTCCTGTTGTAGCTCAAGAAGAGAACTTTACTTCGCCATTTTGAGAGGTACATATGAATGTTCTGAATTCTTAAGATGTAAATGCACAGCCCTTTGCTTGCTACTGTAATAATTATGAACCACCTTTTTGATGAAGTATTTATGTGAATTTTGATACAAGACAGGGTCATTGCTTTTCATATTGAATATACATTAAACTAAGGATAGTGTGCCTGTTTAGAATGTGTTCGGGCCACGTGAAGACGTAACCATTTAATATAAAGTGCCAAAACACTGCATAAAACTGCTACATTGTTTTTTGTAGGACTCAGTCTATGTATTTTGACAAATAAAAATATTAAGATGTATTCTGAAATAGCTTGGATAGACTTTTTTGGTATTTTTAATTACATTAAATTGCTTGTACATAACTATTGAGGCAGCTTTTAGGTATATGAACATATATATAAATAATACCAGATTTTTAAGACCACAGAAATGCTTACAATTAGTTTTTACCCCCTCTCAGTTAAAACCGGATAGCAGCACTTAACAGGGTAGGGGACTGGGCCCAAGGCAGCCAAACTCAGTTTAAGGAAGTTAAAGATGAGGTCAGTGCTTCCAGCCAGAATTAAATGCTTACTTCATATTTACCTGCTTTTAGTCTTCAAAAGGCAGGATAACCTGGGGTAAAACTGTTTCTCTCTGCAGATGACTTGCATTGATGGGAATTGTTCTGTGGGATCTAATCTAGTGAACACCACAGAACCTCCAAACTGGGATTCCTCCCAGTGGCAACTCTTCTTAGGCAGACCCTGGATCTGAAGGTATCCCACAGCAGGATCCAAGGGAAGCAGGGTGCTGCCTTCCTCCTGGTGTGCGTGGCATCCTGCAGGGGAGTCTGCACTCCATGGTGCAGGTGGTAGAACAGAGCTTAGGAATTCCCTTAGGAATTACTGACACAAGGGAGTTCTTTTTTTGAAAAAACATGTATTTGCCATGTAGCAACTGATACTTGTACCTTTAAAACAATTAAATCAAACAACTGTTTATAGGAGGAAAGACATAAACTCAGACAAAAGTGTATGGGGTTGGTTTGTTTTTTAAATAACCCTTTTTTAAACTAGTATTTGTCCCAACTAATTTTGTGAGATTAGTCATGTTGTTTCATACACTGTCATCTAAGTACTAAACTGCACATCCTACATAAAAAGACAAAATGGCAAACAGAAAAAAAAAAATGCATGACTTCAGACACCCTGAAGACAAGAGCAGTAAACCTGTGATCAAGTTCTAGTATATGTAAAACCAGCAGTGCAAAGCCAAGGGCAGTCTTGAGCAGCTGCAGCTGTTTGCTGTCAGCTGCTGCCTTCCAGAAGCCCGAACCGATGTACAAAATGAGCCAATTAAGAGAGAAGCACTGGGGAGAAGGTTATAAAGCAGCAGATGTGAAATTTAAAAGGGTGAGATTAAGAAACAGATAAAACTCTGATAATGCTCATTAAACAAAACAAAAACAAACCAAAACTAAGCACCAGTAATCATTATGCTAAAGTGGGAGAGGACTGAGGTTTTTCTAATGCAAATTGTGCTACACCACAGTTACTAAAGCCAGGTTTGTTCTTCTCTTATTACAGTAATTACAGTGGCAAAATAAAAGTTTTAAGATCACTCTGACGCTATAAAAAACATGGAGTATCAAAATTAGACACAATTAATTGCTATTCATGAAATAGAACCTGGATTTGTTTTCTCACGTGCTTTGAGAACAATATAAAAACCACAGACAATGCAATGTGTTTGCAAGTCCCTTGTGCATTGAGAGTTTATTTTTGTAATGGAACTGCACCATTGGTTACTCTAATTGAGGTATTTAGCCAAAATCCAGTATATTGTCATGAAAATAACTACACTGCCTTAGACCTAGGTAAAAACATTTGTACAAAAGTTGTGTCAAATGTCAAATAAATACATAATTTTTATATTTATGTAAAGAAAAGTGATTTGGATACTCTTACATTTAAAAAAAACAACCAAAACCAACCTTGCTATTTCACATATGTTAGGCAAACATTCAGTTTTACATTAATAAAACAGACCTCAAACTGAAGCCCAGGTACAGGTTAAATACAAATGTAGAAACTTAAAAGTGCCAACAAACAAGATAATTCAAGTACAGTAAACGTTAAAAAATATATATATTTATTTCAATTTTCAGATGCTTTCAACAGATACAGGCCATTAGGATTTAAATAAAGACAAAACATTTGAGATAAAGGACAAGAAACATTTTGTTCCAGAATAAAATATAAATTGTTAAACCACATTTTAGAAACAGAAAAGTCCACAGCAACTTATAAAAGGAGACTTAGGAGTTTATTTCTGCTTTGAATACGGTCTTGAAGAATCACAATTTATATCCCAAGCACCAGGCGTCAGTGACTTTTCTGTATCCATGCTCTGACTGTAAGCAGATACAAAATAATTGCCCCCTTCTTGGTTTTGACTTGCAGAAGAAATTGAGTATGTTGTTTGCAGGAAAGTCTGATGAGTGAGTACATTAAAGTGACTGAACTGATGGGACATGTTTAATTGTCTACTATAAACCTGGAAGTTACTGAAAGGAGCTTGTTCAAGTGAACTGTGTTTTTCTCCTTCAGCAGCACATGTTTTAGAAACTGGAGTAACTGGCTGTATCTCCTCCAAGTCAGTTTTAGAAGTCTTTTCCATCGAGCCAATTTGTGCTTCAGGAGATACCTCTGTAACTGATAAGCAGCTTTCTTTTGCATCTGCTCCATGTGAGCCCTTGGCCTTTTTCTGCAAAGTTTCCAAACGAGTATCATACTTAAAGGCATCATTGCAGATTTCTATTTGTGCTGTTTCATCCCCTGAATCCAGAGACATGTCCTCCTCATCCTGATCGTTTTCTACAAGAACTACATTAAAAAAAGAGAGAAAGTCCTATTCTATTGAAATACAAAATTGATGTTAGAAAAGCTATACACTACTCACAGAATGTTACGCTTCAGGTCTGCAAGTCCAATATCACTTAAGTCTTGGTCTTCTGCCACTCTTGTTCACTTACTCAACACACACACTTAACCCTGTGTGAGGGTCCAGTTATTCCGATGCTAAAAGCTTCTGCGCATTGTGTTCATGTTTAGTGTTGGGAAATCCCAACTCCCAGCTCCAAAGGGGTTAATGTCAAAACAGCATCTAAAGTTACACAGTAGGTGAGTATTTGATCAGACAATTAAAGGAGTACAATTACTGACATCTCAGTCCTTTCCTTATGGTTTCTAGAAGCTATCATTAAATGGATCCTTTCCCTCAACACAGATGGTTACACCACTTGGACATACGTCTAACTAATACCACGTTAGCCTACAATTCTGTATTTCAGATCTCCTTTGGTGCTCCATCCCAGCTGCTTTTCCCCATCATATAAAACAGAAAAAGAGCAGCTTCAGAGTTGGGTTTTCCTTGCCATCTGTTCATTTACAAGAGTAAAGGCACACTATTTCAAGGACCTCCACCCCACACATCTAATCAGCTAAAGAAAGTAGAACTGTGTTTAACATTACCTGATTGTCTTCTGTGAGCATCCGAGGGAGGGAGGCTGGTTTCCTCAGTAGCTGTGTGATGATACCCAACGAGACTTTGAAAATTCTGCATAAAGTCATCAACAGTAGCAACCACTATTCCATTATCAGCATAATTAGAAAGTGTTTTGACATTCTTTTCTAAATACATAAAAGGAGACTGTGTATTAATACTGAGCACCTGTTACCAAAAGAGGGAGAGAAGTATTCCTAAGTTTTCTTTTACCTGTTAAGAAGACAACATGTCTCTGCTGTATGTTTTGAGCCTGAAGCCTGATAAGACAGTCTAATTCTGGAGCATTTCGAGTCTGAGAATCACAATTATGGTAAGACAGAATCTCAACCAAATGTTTCTTTTGGTAAGTATTCAGATGGGTCAGCAGACTCAGGGCATTAGCATTCATTCTGCAATGGTAGAAAAAGCACACTATGAGGAAGATACTTGATTTAGAGTCAGTCTATATGTTTAAATTAAGGCAAAGGACAAACATATCAGAAAATTCTACTTCACTGGGTTTTGGAGAGCCTAAGTAAAACTGAAGCATTTTAACAAGTGCTATTCAAAACACATTACTTACCGCCCCAGCTCTTTAAGCTTTTTTAGTATCTTGCAGTGGACTTTCCACTGCCATTTTCCATCTGGGGTATTGAGATCCTCCAGAAACCTTAAGAACTGTTTTAGTTTATCTGTTTGAAGATAAGGAATAGAGGTTAAATTCTGTGGTATGTAAACTGAAAATACAGCTTCAGTATACAGATAAAGCTTTCAGTTTTCATCACAGCTATGAACATGTGCCTCATACTTTGGGTTTTCTTCCATGAGTCAACAACAGCATTTCAACAATGAGCTGCTTTTTTATAGGTCAGATACCAAACAGTGGCACATGCTTACATAAAGCTGAATTCAGCCATATGTGATCTGCTTTGCTAAAATATCTCATTAAAAACTAGTAACTTCATTAACTATTCAATTGGAAATAAAGGAAAAGTGAAATAATGTACTTTTTCAGTGTTTTCCTAGCATATTTGTGGATTGAGTATTAAGGCATATACATAACTACACAATCTAACATAACTGAGAAAGACAAGATATCCATGTTCATGTGTTCCCCAGAAACATGTTCTCTAAAAAGGCCACTGAGGTAATACGAGAACGAATTAGCTGAAGGTCTTCAAAAAAACTTCATGAATATTAGAAGACTTGATTCTTCACTGCCATGATTATGGCACCTCTCGTACATACTAACATTTCAGGCCTTTTTTGTCTGTCTTTTAAAGCTTCAGAAAATATCACACTTACCTGTAGTGATGGTTTCTGGATTAAGCACAGATTCGTCTGACACAACAAAACCATCAGACACGAACAATTCATTGTAAGTGTGATTTTTCACATCATCCAAACTGTCAACACCCGCAAAGCTGACACAAGAAAGCCTCTTCAAAGTTACTAAGCCAGGTATCTG